GTCGTGTCCTGTGTCCTACTCTACCTCACGGGCGACCAGACCAACACTCTGAGGGGCGCAGCCGGGCGGCAGACATGGGCACGTCAAAGTCGGACGAGCTCTGCTTAAGATCAGGTTTACATTGCATGTAATAGTATGAATTTGACATTTCTAATTTAAGCTATCCAGTTGTGAAATCATTTATTTGAGATATGATCGGTCACTGTCCACCGACGCGGCCGGTCACGTTACCGAAAAAGGCTTTCGCCTCGCTTTATATATAAATCAAACCGCCCAAGCCAAATATCCGACAATGTTCACACACACACAGACACACTCAAAGTCACACACACACACACACAGATAAGGTAGCAGTAAGGTTAATGCTGAGGGCACAACTCAACAAGCCCTAAGAACAAAAGGACACACGCAAAGACTGCCACAAACAAAGCATGCCTAATCAGGCTCCGGCGGCGGTGGCGGAAGCAGGGGCGCCATGTGGAAGGCCATCGATCGAAGGTCGGTGAGGAGGGTGTTGATGACGCTCCGGTCCTGGGGGCGGCTAAGCGGCCGCCAGAGCTGCAAATAGCCACACATTTTAAAGATCGCGTCAGTCGCACGTCGCAGAGGCACTTTCTGAATAATAAGCTTGTTGCGAATATTCCAAAGCGTCCACGCAAGGATCCCAATGCATAGCCATCTAATATGGCGGTAACGCGGGGAGGAGGCATGGATCTCCGCGAGTAAGTCGGGGAAGTTGGTATTGCACCATTGTCCGCCGACCGTTTCACGGAAGCACGACCACAGGAACTGGGCCGTGGAGCAGTTGAAGAAAATGTGATTCGAATCCTCAACCGTGGCGCACAAGGGACACATCCCGTCCCCAGGGCCATTGCGCCGGACTTCAACCCCAGAGGGGAGACGCCCCCGGATCCACTGCCAGAGGAATATCCGGATCTTAAGGGGGAGGCGAATGTCCCAGATCAGGCTAAAGGGCTCAGGGGCCAGCGAGGGGGCGATGACAACGTATAGAGACTTCGTGGAGAAGCATCTCGAGGGCTCCAGGCGCCACGTCATGGAGTCAGCGACGCCCTCTACATCCATCGGCAAGAGAGCGATGTCCTGTAGAAGGGCGTCCCACGCGTCAACCTCCCGGGGGCCAAAGGGGCGCCGAAAGGCGAGACGCCCTAAGTCAATAAGGGCCCGCTCGACGGAAATCAGGGGGTCAGCCGCAATGGCAACTAAGCCCGGGAAGCGGACGGCCAGAGGGGAATCCCCAAGCCAGTGATCGAACCAAAACAGGGTCGAGGACCCGGAACCCACAGAGATGGACGTGCCAATTTGGAGCACGAGAAGAAGCTGAATCACAGCTTGCCAGAACTAGGATCCCCTAGAGCACTGGCAGAAAGCTAGAGGTTGGCCCCGTAGATACTTATTCTGGATGATGGTAAGCCAGAGGCCGCCCTCCCCGTTGGCGATACACCATAACCATCTGGTTTGGAGAGCAATGTTCATGCGACGGGAAGACAAAATCCCCAGACCTCCCTGGTCCTTGGGTTTGCAAATGTCAGGCCAGCTCACCATATGGTATTTTTGCTTGTCCCCCTCGCCAGCCCAGAAGAACCTGGACTGATATTTGGCCACCTCCTGGTGAAGCGTCTCATGGAGTCTATAGAAGCTCAGAAGGAACCAGAGGAGGCTAGCCAGCGAGGAGTTGATGAGGATTACCCTCGCCGCCTTCGAGAGCCATCGGCCCTTCCAGGGCTCGACCCGGTTTTGCATTCGGGTCACGGAAGGGCGGAGGTCCTCTACGGTGAGGCGCGAGTCACTAATGGGGATCCCCAGATAAGTTGTGGGGAAAGAACCCAGGCAGCAGTTAAGCCGGTCCTCAATGCCCTGGGCCTCCTCCGGGGGGAATCCCATAACCATCACTTTGCTCTTATCGAAGTTGATGGTAAGACCGGACATCTGTTGGAAGCATAGGAGGAGAAACTTCAGGTTGGCAATATCGGACGCGGAGCCCTCAACCATTATTATGGTGTCGTCAGCATATTGTAGGAGGAAGACCCCACCCCCTCTTACTAGGTGTGGTACCATGCCGTGAATGTGACCGGCCGATTTGGCCTTGTCAAGAATGGCCGCAAGAGCGTCAACCACCATGTTGAACGGGAATGGTGAGAAAGGGCCGCCTTGGCGAACCCCACATAGTGTGGGGAAGAAGGGGCCAATCTCACCATTAATGTTAATAGCGGTCCGACCGCGGGAGACAAGCTGCAAAACTCTGGTCACCCAACGGTCATCAAAGCCCTTGCGGAGTAATACTTCCTGAAGGAAGGGCCAGTGACTAGTGTCATAGGCTTTATGGAAGTCGAGCTTCAGGAAGACTGCCTGTTGGTGCTTGGAGCGGACTTCATGAAGGACCTCGTGGAAGACCAACACCCCATCCAGGATAAAATGACCCTAAATGAAAGCCGACTGATTGGGGTGAGTGATCGAGTTGGCTAGCAGGGTCACCCTATTGGAGTACCCTTTGGCCAGGATCCGGAATATCACATTGATCACAGTGATAGGTCGGAATTGGCGGATGTCCGTCGCGCCCGGAACATTGGGGATAAGAGTGACAACCCCATAGTTCAGGCGCCCAAGATCCATGGTCCCCAAGAAAAACTCGTCGAAGAGAGCCATGACCTCAGGTTTGATGGTCTACCAGAATGCTTTAAAAAAGGACACTAGCAGTCCATCCGGCCCCGGCGCTGAGGAGGCGTTCATGCCCTTAATCGCCGCAAGGACCTCCTCCTCGGAGAATGGGGCAACTAAGGCGACATTGTCCGCATCAGACACAAGCTGGGTGCCTGACCAGATGTCGGTAGCCAGAGCGACCCACCTCGAAGGGTGGGGGAGAAAAGGGCTTTGTAGAAGCCGACGAGCTCGGAATCACCATCCCACAAACAGTGGATGGAGTTCCGATGTCGCCACCCATTCGCGATCGCCTGGAAGTATGCCGTATTAGCGTTGCCCTGTAGCACCCATCGCTGGGTACCGCGGAGCCTCCAGTATGCTTCTTCATCCGTATAGATGGTGGCGAGCTGATCCTCAAGATCGTATCGCAACATCCACTCATCCGGGGAGATCCTGGAAGTGTATGCGCGGGAGTCCAAGGCCTGGATGGCAGATAGGAGGGCTTTTTTGCGTTCGCGGAGGTCCCTGCCAAGGTTAGCGCCCCTCCCCTCCATAAATTGGAGGGCGAGCTTGGCGCAAAACTGCCAAGAGTCCACAGCCGACATGGACCGGTGGGGGGAGGAGCGCGCAGAGGTCCACTTGGCTGCGACCGCCTCCCTGAAGCCCGCTTGGTTGAGCCAGAAGAGCTCGAACCTAAAGCGAGGCAGGATGGGAGGGCGTTAGTCGGCGGTGGAGAGGAGGAGAGGGACGTGGTCTGACCCAATCCGGGTAATCGCATGGAGCGAAGCCAAGGGGCATCTAAGTTCCCATTCCGGGGAGACTAGGACGCGGTCCAGGACGGACCCCGTCGGGTCGGCTTGGCAGTTAGTCCAGGTAAATCTAGCACCCGTCCGCTCAAGCTCGCGTAGGCCGAGATCCGCGATGCAGTCGTTGAACATCTGCATCCTAGGGCGGTTGATCCGGTCATTATTCTTCTCATCGGGAGAGCGGATGAGGTTGAAATCACCTCCAACAACCACCGGGAAGGTGGAGGCGGAGACCTTCCGTTGTAGCTCTTCGAGGAAGGTCGGGGAGCGGCGGTGGTCCGCCGGTCCATAGACAATGACAACCTCCCACTTGAAGTTAAGCGCCCTTTTGAAGAGCTCCATGCTAACGAAAAACTCGCCTCGGTCCATACCGCCAACCTCAAAGGTGGCATCCTTCACACCTAAGGATGCGTCCCGAGTACCCCGTGGTCCCACTAGAAGGGAGCGAGTGCCAGGCGAAGAGGTGGGGGCTAAGACGCTCTAACTCGGGGAGAGAAAATTTCATGCGCATGGTTTCCTGAATGGCGATGATGTCGATGTGCTCGTCACGCATGTACTCAACGAGCTGGCGACGCTGGCCGTCATGGACGAAGCCGCGGATGTTCCAAAAGAGGACCCACATCTAGCGGCCAGTCACGTTTGCAGATGTTTGAGGGGTCGAATTTGCTAAGTCCCACCGTAGATGCTCTAATAAAAAAAATTGGAGCAAAAAGGGGTTTCCCCTCCGATTTCCATTATAGAAACCATCAAGCATCCGACAGTCACAGTGTTTTAAACCTGCTACATAACATCATTTCTACGAAGACAACATGAACATAAACTAGGGCTGCTGCCCAGCAACATGCTCTAATAATACCGAAGTAGAGCAAACGAACCCTTGGGTGAACGGCTGGAGCGCGCGGATCTACTAGCAAGTCCCTCGATCCTAGACAGTGGCCTCGCACGCGCACCCACATGAAGGCATGTGATGTGTGCCACTGAGAAAGTTCGTGGCATCCCTCGATCCTAGATGTGGCCAGCCGTTTACTTCCGGGGCAGGCAAGCTCCATCTCCATCCCGAGTGAATGAATGATCCTTTGACCTGCAGACACCGTCGGTCGATTTCATTCCTCAGATGTACGTACTGACCTGTTGAAAACTCAAAATAAATCCCGAATGTGAGTACGTACACTGCTGCCAAGCTAAACTATTCCCAAGTCAAACAAGAAGCCCCGCCCCGAAGCCGCATGGCCCCCTCAATGTACGTGCCCCATCACATGAAATGATTCCATCCATGGGTCGATCGATCTCCACGGCACCGCGCGATCAGTAAGTAGATCTCCCAAGTCGTCGAGCTGTTACTAGCTGCATGTAAAAAAATTGTTACAATCTGACAACTGCGTCGTGTAATTGACCTGTAGCTGTAGGTTCCAGTTAATTAGCCCCGGTTGATGTGTATATATAGAGGCCAGGTTCGCAGCTTCCAGTTAATTAACCAGTGGCCGAGTTTGCAGACTAGACAGACAGTATAGCTAAGCTAGGTCGACGACACTAGTCATGGCAATGGAGTACACCACAAGGCGCTGGCTGGGCGCGCTCGCCGCCATCGTCCTGCTCTCGTGCGCCCCGGCCCCGGCGGAGGCGGCCGGACGGAAGCTGCTGCAGATCCAGATCAGCCTGGCGCAGCAGTTCGTGGTGCCGCAGAACCACATGCGCGCGATCCAGGAGCAGCGCCCGCTCAAGTGGAGCAGCGGGCTGGCGGACCAGGCGGAGCGCTGGGCGGCGCGGTTCAAGGGCAACTGCGCGGCCGCGTCGGCGGCGATGCCCGGCGGCGTCAACGTGTTCCGCGGCTTCGGCGAGGCCGGGAAGGCGTGGCAGCCCAGCGACGCGGTGGCCGCGTGGGCGGAGCAGTCCAACTACTTCGACTTGGCGTCCGGCGCCTGCGCCGCCGGGAAGCTGTGCGCGCAGTTCAAGCAGGTGATGTCCAAGGGCAACACGGACGTCGGGTGCGCCTCCGTGAAGTGCGCCGACGGCACCACGCTCATGACCTGCCACTACTCGCCGCTGGGCAACGTCTTTGGCGAGAGGCCCTTCTGATCCCGTCGATCTCGCCCGTCAAGCCGGCCGTCTCGTGCCGCGTGTGTTTCTGGTTGAGTGAAGTCGTCTTGCCATGTTTTGCAGTTTATTACGTACTCACTTATTATATTTTATTAGTTATTACGACGTGCTAGTTGATTTACTACATCATGTTATGGTGAGAGTAAAGAGGTTAATGCTTTGTCATGAGTTTTGTGCATGACATTTGGTAAACTGTCATACTCTTCCAACCCTAAAAACTATACTATAAGCTATAGTTTACATTTGCTAATTCTCGGTCACTTCGAATTTTTGTAAATCAGTCACAATAAACTCCATAGTGACAAGTTTAATGTTGTTTTGCTATTGTTATGGTGCATTTCAAGATATGCAATCTTAGTACGTATCATGCAAAAGTAATAATCTCCCGTTTCTAAATATGATCGATGTGCATTTCAACTGCCCAAATTCATGCTTTGTCCCACAATTGAAATCGTTGAATTCATATTGGAAATCTCTTTCTTGTGATTACTTGTAATCTTGCATGCACGATACTCATTTGGAGTAGATGGGAGGTGCTCCACACATATGCCGTATGTGGGATTCGTGCTCGTAGCGGCACCAAAGAGGAAAAACACCATGTCCGAAAGTGAAGACGTTCAGCCATCGCACGATCAGTCACCAATTATATATGATTAGGAGTACTAAGTTCCATATTTTTTTCTCCTTTTACATATGGTAATAACTAACTTTCTTCGTTAGAGGAGAAAAGGAGGTGCAAAGCACACCACCGTGCATCTTTCAACATGCTCAGGTTGTCTATATTGCCAACACCTTCTTTGCTGATGATCTTCGAGTCTTCCTCCCCTTTATTAACATTACACAATGCTTATGATGTAAATCTCATTTCTCTAAAATAATCCCATTTCTTTAAAATCATGTTTCAAATCATCAACCAATTCAAACCACGAGGAAAGTTGTGTGAGGCATCAAGGTGTATGATCCTAATTAATCCATTTGGTCCATCAACTTTTACATACTCATATTTCATTATTTAACCAATTTGTTTTTTGGCTTTCATGACTATGTCTCGTTGCTTACTATACTCGCTAGAAATGGGGTATGGTAAGTTCTTTAGATTATTTTGTGTGGGTGTCCCCTCTTGTTAGTCAGTCATTGCCCCTTTCTCCTTCCTAGTGCCATCTCTGTGTGTGTGAGTGTGTGTCTGTGTGCTCGGTTCTTGTGTATTGTTTACGTAGCCCCGCAGATCGAGGGGAGGATGGGAAAAATTGCTGTCCACGCTAGTTAAGTGTGTCGCTTGGTGCTTGTGTTGTGTTTCTACTCTCCACAGTGTTACATACCACCAGTTAGCCTTGAGTTGCAACGTCGCACGACCCGACTTCCTGAAGCTCATGTTGCATAGGGGACCGCCCACAGACCACGATTGCCTCAAGTATGTGAAAGGATAGTGAGCCTTGGGTGGAGCTGCCCGTAGGGCAAGGTAGGGTGGCCGCCCTACCTTGATTTCATACAAAAAATATGCATGTGTGCATACATCAGTCCACGGCTAGCTGGGTAATGTTTGGTGAAAAAACCCTAAAAAGGATAAAAGGGCGAGTCATTTGAGGACATAGTCCATCCAGCCAACGCTATTTTGGCTGTGGGTAAGATACACTCACGCACAATAGCACACCATACTACCAATCAGTTTGGTAAATTTTGGGCAGGGAATAGGAATTTAGACGAGGAAGTTTCCGAAGGGATTAAGCATGGAAAATAGAGTTTAACCTTTTTCCCCTTCGTTGATACATGCTGGGAATTAATTCGGGATGAAAATCTTCTTACGGATTAACAGCCCCCCATGAAACGAAATCGATGGAAGTTGACTTCCTTAATTCCTATTTCTCTTCCCACTTAAACTCCCAATCCCTCTAACTAATAAGTGCACTTTTAACATCCTCACTCCTCAACTATGTTCCTCATCCCTAATTCCCACAAACCAAATAGGTTGTATGGGCTAGTTTGGTTGCTTCGCTAGGATGCTTC